TTTTTATGAGCAGATATCTGCCATGGTTCTGAGACACTTCTGGTCACATGTTAATATGCTTATGCTTGAAAATCTTAACTTCGAACGCATTTCATTCATAACCTCACATGTCTAGACAAATGTCCGAATTTATCCTCTATTTTTGAACTTTGCATCGTGCTTTAAAATGCGAATGTTTGTTCTACTGCAGTTTTTTATCTACCCTGCCTGTCGGGCGGATTGAATAACTCAGCCATATTTTGACAAAGACATGTTAATCTCAGTTTGTTCGTTTCTCTGCAGCCTTGCAAGGGCATATTGCTATTTGGCCCCCCTGGAACAGGAAAGACTATGCTTGCAAAGGCTGTTGCAACTGAAGCTGGTGCGAATTTCATTAACATTTCAATGTCCAGCATAACCTCAAAGGTATCCTTCGAAAAAAAATATTAATTAATTCTTATTGTTTTAGCTTGTCTGACCCCTGTTTCTCTATTCTCGACACTTACAGTGGTTCGGTGAGGGTGAGAAATATGTCAAGGCTGTCTTTTCTCTGGCTAGCAAGATAGCTCCTAGTGTGATATTCGTTGATGAAGTAAGTAATTCCCCTCCATGTTTCAATATTTTTGTATTGAGTACAAGTCATCATGTGACCATGCATCTTTCCCCCTTTCTTTCCAAGGTTGATAGCATGCTGGGCCGAAGGGAAAACCCAGGAGAACATGAGGCCATGCGTAAAATGAAAAATGAATTCATGGTGAACTGGGATGGACTGCGGACAAAGGACAAAGAACGTGTTTTGGTACTTGCTGCCACAAACAGGCCTTTTGACCTTGATGAGGCTGTGATTAGGAGGCTGCCACGCAGGTAAAATAAGGAAAAAAAAAAAGAATGAATGCAAGATGAAATGGTCTTCAAGTATCCAAACATTTTGATGTTTGTATTTGTGCTTGTACTTGTGTTTTCTATTAGGTTGATGGTCAATTTGCCGGATGCTGCTAATAGAGCCAAGATCCTTCGAGTTATTCTGGCCAAAGAGGACCTTTCCCCTGATGTTGACCTGGATACAGTTGCGAGTATGACTGATGGTTATTCAGGAAGCGATCTTAAGGTTTGATCTTACAAGCTTTTTGGTTGTGAATCTGGTTCATTTTGGACCTGGGCTGTTCATAACTTTTCTTATTTTTCTCTTTCAGAATTTGTGTGTGACAGCTGCCCATCGCCCCATAAGAGAGATTCTGGAGAAGGAGAAAAAGGTAATGTTTCCCAATCCCGCCTGTGTTCCACCTGATCAATCTTGAAGGACTAAATCCATAGCGATTGTTGATATATATAAATGTGTTTGGTTTCTAAGTAAAAAATGAGCATCATGGTTTTTCCATTAGGCCTATCAAGTTACTACATGGTTTGATATATATGAGTTGGAGTCTATTTCTGTGTATTCTTTCGAGATTCAACCAAATATGTTTGGTTGCTAAGTAAAAAATGAGCATCATGGTTTTTCCATTAGGCCTATCAAGTTACTACATGGTTTAATTATACATGGGACTATGCAAATGTGCATTGCAATCATTACAATTACTTTGTATATTTGTTTCTTGAAACAAAAGAAATATTTATTTGTACACAGACTTCATATATATGTAACCCATCCTCAGATAACTTTTATTTGAGAATATTTTGGTCTGCATACTTATATGAGTTTCTAAAATTATTGTATGTCGACGAATATCCTTTCTAAAGAATAGTATGTCTCATCTAAATGATATATATGTTTGATATATATAAATATGTTTGGTTGCTAAGTAAAAAATGAGCATCATGGTTTTTCCATTAGGCCTATCAAGTTACTACATGGTTTAATTATACATGGGACTATGCAAATGTGCGTTGCAGTCATTACAATTACTTTGTATATTTGTTTCTTGAGACAAAAAGAAATATTTATTTGTACACAGACTTCATATATATGTAACCCATCCTCAGATAACTTTTATTTGAGAATATTTTGGTCTGCATACTTATATGAGTTTCTAAAATT